GTGCCCTCCCCTGGCCTGCGCCTTCCTCCCCCAACTCGCCTGTGCCCCCCCCTTCCTGTGCCCTCCCCCTGGCCCTGTGTCTTCCTCCCCCCCCCACCCTGCCTTGTGCCTTCCCCCCTGGCCCTGCGCCCTCTCCCCTGGCTCTGTGACCACCCCTCCACCATGTGCCCTCCCCCCTCCCCGCCTGCCTCTCCCCCCTGGCCCTGTGTCCTCAGGCAAGTTGCTGAACTTCTCTGGGAAGGTGCTAATAGCACCAGCATTTCGGGCTGCTGGGAGGATGAAAGGAGATTAAGGACTGAACTGCTCATCATGGTGCCCAGCGGGGCAACCACTGAGCGAAGTGAGTTCTTTTCTCCAACTACTTTCCTATTCCAAGCCAGAGCTGCCATTTAGACGTTCTGTTCCAATGAGAGGAAGTGGGAAGCCAGGTTTCCCAGGGGAGCAATCAATGCCCAGCGAAACGCGAGCACTCCCAGGCATGAACTTGAGCTGGCTGTCCAAATGCCTCCGTCCTGTCACTTCATTTGGTTTCACGTCACTCAGCCTGGGGAGTGAGTTAGTGGCTGAACTATTCCTTGGAGGATATGGGAACCATGCAGAAACCTTCAAATCAAGATTTAGGCCCCAGCTGGTGTGGCTCAGTGGATAGATCATTGGCCTGCGGACTAAAGGGTCCCGGATTTGATTCCGTCAAGGGCACATGCCTGGGTTGCGGGGCCAATCCCCACTGGGGGGTGTGCAGGAGGCAGCCGATCAATGTTTCTCTCTCATCCTTGATGTTTCTATCTCTCTCTCCCTCTCCCTTCCTCTCTGAAATATAAATAAATAAGTAAAATTATTTATCAATAGCAGCTAGCTCATCATAGAATTCAGTTCTAGAAAGAACTGCCCGCCTACGGGCCCTGAAGCGGCCCAGAGAACCACAGCATCCGTCTGAAACGACAGAGTGAGGCTCCCATGAGCGTGGTCATGTGGGAGCCATGGCTTGATGCTGCATGTCCTATCCAACCGCTGGAACAGTCACACCTGGACACGCCTCCACGGTGTGAGGGCGAGCCCACGGCACTGCACGGGGCCGGCCACCCGCTGACCCCAATGGCATGTCCATGCCCAACCTAATCGGTCCCGTTTCAGGCTGTTGTTCATCCTCCCAATGGCATTTGATGTAAATGGAGAGAAAGGTAAGAGATAAGCAACATAGATTATTGCTTGAGAAAATGTCAATTTCTGTGATATTCCTGCCTGGGCACTCCTGGTAGGAGGAACTGTGGCTTGTTCCTCTTTATGACATCATCGAGAATCTTCATGTATGTGCATCAATAAGGATGGTTTTAACTTTTTTACAAATAGGGTCATCAGAAGATGTATTGTTGCACGTCAAGCACCAAAATATTCCGGGAAGACTTACCTCGTGTACAGTGAAACAGCCTTTCTAGTCAGCCCCTTAAAGATGCCACTGATTTGCTAACAGTGTAGGTATCATAAAGAGCTGTTTTAAAGACAGGGTTTTCCATTCTCACACACACCCAAGAAGAAACTGTCAGGAACTTAAAAACACTCTCTGGAGGGGCCTATCAGACAAACCGGAGGGAGGGAGC